TAACTTCTCTTTCGTCGGCGAGAACAGCTTGGCGGAATTCATCCAAAGTTGAATACTCATTGAGCAAGGCATCATCCCAGACAATCTCGAGTACACGGTTTTTGTACGTCGGGTGAGCCATAATCTGATGCAGATAGTCCAGATTAGCTCGATTAGGCGAGACATAGACGCGATCTATACGCAGATACACGCTGGCCGCCAAATGCTTGCTCGTGAGCCGCAGTCGCTTGATGTCGAGCTTTGAGATGTGTTGGCAGACGATTTCGAGAAGTTCCGATGGCAAGTCTGTGATGGTCTTCCTGTTCTGGGCCCCGCTTCCAAAGGCCTCGGGGAACTCATCGCCAAACAGGCCTTCCATAAAGCTCACGGACGGAACGATACTCGCACTCAATGCCGAAACAGTGGAAACCCTGCGCTTTGAGACGCCAGCCCGAATGGACAAGCTAGGCTTGCGGCGTCGGGTCTTGGCAGGCCTTATCTGGAGGTTTGTGAACATCGCATTGGTATGTATATACGATTCGATGGACGCGGTTTCCAGATAGTAAACACAGGCGGATCCCGGGAGCTGGCTTGTTGTCGCGGTATGTAGGTCTCCTGCTAGGCTATGTTGCACGCACAACGTTTGAGCGCAGGCTACGTATGTAGGCGTTTGGAATCGTGTGCAAAGAAACAAGTATGATTAGATGAGGTAGCGAGACTGATTAGTTGATGTTCAAAATACGGTGTCGAAGGACAAAGGTTTATGCTAAGGGTGATGAAACGCCAGCGCTTGCAGCGCTACCAATGCAAGGCTACTTGCTACCCCATTTGAGGACAGCTGAGCGGCCATCATAGGGATATGTCGTGTCGCATATGCGACACTACTAGATGCGATAAATGAACACCCAATGAGTCGCATACGTGAGACGCGTTCATAGACGGTACGGAAGGACAGTCAATTGTGATCGCGGAAGCCGCAACGTGCCCGCGTGCCTTCGCTTACAGCGTGGTGGAGAGCTGCCCGCAGTAGGGTGGGTCCGCCCAAGTCAACGTCAAACCTTTACAAACGACATCACAGACAGCTTCGAGGACATGACATGTAACCAGGTCTTCTCATTGTATGAAGTGCTTTCCAGCAACCTCAAAGAGTGCCCAAGAGCATACATAAGCGGGTACTGCCCTTCAGCAAGTACCCCACGAACGGTTCCACGACGCATCCACCGCTCGATACCCGCAACCAGTAAACCGCCTACCTGCGCAGGCCTACAGTATACCAGACACGCCATCGCGGCAGATGCGCTCGCTCTTCCCATATCGATATGAAGATTGACCAGCACCCGAGTTATCCGTACCCCGCACATACCAGCGCCGAAGCACGGAAGTATGACTGAGGCTGTGTGTAAAAGTCGACGTCAGGGAAGGGGGCGAGTCGTTCATCTAGGAACCCTCCTCGCCTTCGGCCTTGTTCTTCTTCTTCTTCTTGCTTGAGCCGAAGTCATTCTTTACTGTAGGAACGGCCGACTGGTGGACGATGAAGCGGGTGTAGCACTCTTCTGGGTCCCACTCAAAGCCCATGAGGTATGGCTTCTCGAACTCGTCGTCTGCCTATGGAGGGTTAGCTATGCTTTGGCACCAAGATCAAAGTACGCGGTATATAGGAACAGCGACAACGATGCTCAATGGTAAGATCCAATGACAAGGGACACTTACGCGCTTCTTGAACTGCTTGTGGATGGCATCTAGTGCGTCCTTGATGGTTACACCCTTCATGTTCCGTGCGGTAACTTCTAATCCTAGCGGGAAGTGTAGGGCGATGGACTTGAGCTTGGGCTCGGTGAGTGGCATCTTCAAGACTGACGGGTCTTCGACGGTGCTCGGCGACTTGTTGAGCTTCCTGGAAGTACTGCATTAGCACGGTCAAGACATTGGGGCTGCCGGAGCTATCCGGACGACGACGAGCTGGTCTGCATCATGGTCGGATGGCTCGCAACAATGCGATGAGGGGAATCACTTACCAGTTCAGCTTCTGGGTTTCGAGTGCGATCTCGATCTTCTTGCCTTCCTTCTCTGAGGTTCTGTCAGCCCCGCCCGCTGCTCACGCACGACCCCTCATTTGGGCTATCGTCATAAGAGGTACTCACCTAGATCCTCGATGCGGTAGACATCAGCAGCCATGGAGCTGACTCTGCGGTGGCCCTTCTTAGCGGCGCCATCTTGGTGATCGGTCAAAGAGTCGACCTTCTGGAGCGTGTTTTCTGTCTCTGCGGCCATTGTGGTAGGATGCAGTTGCAGTCAAGCTACTGGAAGATTGAAGGGGTTGTAGATGATGAAAGAGCTTGGGAAGCTGTAGAGGGGTTGCCTGGAGCTGTGGATGTGATGTGAGATACGAAAGCACAGTGGAGGCTGTGAGGAAGGAGAGGAAACGAGGGAGGGCGCAGCTTATGAGGGGCTCAGTCTCTCGCCGGCAGGCACAGGAGACGGTCACTTGATCGATCACCACATTGTGGTCCAATCCAATCGGCGTGAGACGTGAATGGTCGGGCCAATGCGGGGAAGGGGAGCATCACCCAGAATGCGGGGAAGGAGCAAACCAACGGTGGAAGCCTGCGTGTCCATCCCACATTGTTGGTCAAAAGAGCTCGAGATAGTGTAGAAGCTAGCAATTGAGCCTCGTTATTCGCACTTCAATCTTCCCAAGTATCTATTGCCATTGCGTTGTTGCTCCGGAGCATCAGGCACGGTGGTGAGATAGATCGCGTGACCGACGTCATTGGCCGCTCGGCGACTGGACAAAGCGCGCATCGACGCGTATCATCTCAGCTCCGGGCCCTAATGCGGTCCGAGTGAATCAGAGATCCACTTGATTACTGCAAGGGCTCAAGGTCCACGCGGAGATGCATGTCAGCATTCTACTGGACTGTCCGCTTTCGCAAGATGATTCTGGGCTGCCTAGGTACTTAGGTATCCATATGGACTTTGTAATTACTCACTTGGAAAAGCAATATAGATGCATGATGACTTCGCATTTGACACCGCAACATTAATTGATATATCGCTTGTTGGCTCCGACCGCTATTATCGATGTTATTGCATGATTTGCCTATGAATGCCCAACAATCCTAACGGGCTCGTATAACTCCTCGAGGTACTTCTCCTCCTCCTCAGTCAACTCCTTGCCCCTCGCTGCAAGCGCTTCATCCATCCTGTCTGTGCTGGAGAAGCCGATGATTGGACTTGCGACACGCTTGTTGATCCATGCGAGGGCAACGTGGCTCATTTTCCAGTCATGCTTCTTCGCGATCTCTTCAACGCGAGCAATGATCTTCTTGTCAAGTTCAGTGTTACCAGAGGTTTGGTTACCGGCCTTCTGTTCGCCTTCTGAGCGAGTAGTCGAGCCGAATGCAGAGGGAGGGCGAGCGAGATGGCCACGGCAAAGAGGTGCCCACTGTCAAGCTGTTAGCAAAATATTGACTTTGTAGTTGAAAGGGAAGCATACCGGAATCAGACCAACACCAGTGTCATTGCAGAACCGATTCATCTCGCGCTCTTCCTCACGGTAGAGCAGGTTGTAGTGGTTCTGCATGCTGATGAACTTTGTCCAGCCGTTCTTTTCGGCAGTGAACTGCATTTGCGCAAACTGCACTGCCCACATGGAGCTAGCACCGATGTATCGAACTTTCCCACTCTTGACCAGATCGTGCAGCGCCTCCATGGTCTCCTCGAGAGGCGTGTTTGGATCGAAGCGGTGAATCTGCAGAAGATCGATATAGTCCATGTCAAGACGCTTAAGCGACGCATTGACAGCGTTGAAGATGGCCTGCCGTGAGAGACCACCTTGGTTTACATAGTCTTTCAACTGAGGCAGCTCTTTGCCGTACTGGATGGTTCGCAGACCAGGGTCCTCGCCGACGTAGCCAAAGCATTTGGTGAGAATTACTAGCTTATCGCGAGGTAGGTTGTACTTCTTGATGGCCTTGCCAACCAGTTCCTCAGATACACCGTTGGAGTAAACATTGGCTTTATAAGCTGTCAGTAACTGTTGCAAGTACATGGCTGCTCTGTCAGTCTTACCTGTATCCCAAGTCGTCAGACCGCGATCGTATGCAGCCTTCAGCAGCGGTAGCGACTCTTCCTCTTCGATGACCCAGGGCTGCCATTTGGAACTTCCAATGCTCATAGCACCCAAGATGGGTACCGAGACCTTGAGACCGCTCTTTCCCAAGCGCTTATATTCAGCCTTGGACTCCTTGAGGAGCCCTTCAATATCGAGCTTGTCCGCCATGGTCGCAAATCAGTAGATCGGTTGCGGATTGGTGTTTAGTGGGGTCCTTGATGTTTCGCAGGGTTGTGGTGGGGCAAGCAACTGAGGTGTGAATAAACCAACAGCTGTATGGGCGACACGGTGCTCATATATTTCGCCATGACGGCACTTTCGCCGTGCCTGCACCACCTGCTTCCCAATCGAGGTTACAATGAGCTGTCATTGTCGGGCTTTGCGGCGATAGCCTCATCATTGTCCCGGTGGTAGATATTACAACGAACAACGATGCGGGGTTCAGGCACGACGAGCCGCCATGGATACGTCATGTGGAAATCCCACATCCGCGGACAGTCCAGCCGCCAAAAGAGGCAGGAGGCGTCTCTTCGTGCATGGATAAAGAGATGGAACCGAATGATCATCAGATTCATGCTTACTCGTAATGTGATCTCATTCATAGTGTGCTAGGCTGGACTCCTCAGGCACGGGCTCACACCATGCAACATCACCAAAGGCCAAAAAGCAGTCGCAGTTGTGTTGAAGTGAGTTTAGATCGTTCATGTCTCTTGGCAAGTACTGATCTTATTGACCTCTCATCACCTCACACTTCATCGTGAATGTGCCGGCGCGATTCCATCAAGTCATGGTGGTATTGTTTGAACATCGTTTTTGATCTTAGACCCCCAGGCGCCAACCGCATATGATGCAGAGAAGTTCATAGATGCTCATTGCCCGTAAAGAAACCCGTACTCCCCAGAACCGTTTACGCGTCCTCAACGATGTTGCCGCGCTCCGACACGTACAGACCGTCCAAGAACTTTCGGATATCCTTGTTGCGGACCTTGCAGATTTGCTGAATATCGGCGGCACCTTGGGAGACGTCCTCGAGCGACTGGGTGATCGTTAGCATTGCTTCGATCCATGTTGCGCAGCGGTCCTTACGTTTCCGGACAGCTCGAGCTGATCCTTCTGGTTCTTTGATGCCTCAACCTCAACACCGGGCCTCATGACGACCCTTCGTACGAGCTTCTCGCCGATGAAGTTCCTGATCTCAACCTCCCAGCAGTCGGTCTCCTTGTTCTTGTCCAGGTTGACGTTGATGGGGAAACTGGACATGATGTTAGTCATGTTCAACGATATGCAAAGGCCCCCCAAGAGCACGAGCCAATCTGGTGCGCCCAGCGCTCTGTCATCAGCCTCTCCGAGAGCGCTGGAAGTCTTGTCGGATGGAACATGCTCTGCGGCGAGTTCGGAAGAGATGTGCGATGGGTGCGACATACTGGGCATATACGTAACGCATCTTGTACTTGTAACCCTTGGTGACACCGATGATCAAGTTGTTCTACTCCAGTCAGCCCAGTCCTTCCTTCCTTGCCAGTATAGACTCGAGGGTGCGCGCGACGTACAATCAGGGTGCGGACAGTGCGGAGGGTGGCGACGCTCTTGCGGGAACCGTGGTGGAGCTCGATCTTGATGAGATTCTTCTTAGGCTGTTCCAGTCTTAGCATATGCCCCCGATGCGATGTGTGTGTTCCAAACGTACGTGCGTGAAGCTGACCGCCAAGTGACCGAGAGACTTTGTGAGCTTGCCCTGTGGAGTGTAAGAATCGGTTCGAGGATGGTAGAGGCTATTGCGGGCGGCTTACGCGAGGGCCTGTTGGATATGTCAGTGTTGTTTCTCTAGGGGTCCTCTACCATGCGCACTCACCCTCAACGAGAACATTTCTGTTCTTGATCTGGACCTTGACGCCCTCGGGGATCTCGAGCTCTTCCTCAGAGTGGCTGTTGCGCAAACGTCAGCATTGGATCCGGAATTTGATGTTTGTTGGCGGAGAAGTTCGGTATAGAGGCGTCCATTGACCGTTCGGAGGCAGAGAAAAACGTGCGATGCGGCGGCTTGGGAGTCGTGATCGAGGGATAGACGTACATGTACTTCATCTTGACGGTTGCTGCGGGTTAGCGGTGTTGTCGAGAAGCTGAAGTCGAATTGTCGAAATTGTGTGGGAGGCAGCGCGGACAAAACGATAGCCGAGCCACCGCTCTAGCCCGCTTTTGTGCGCACTAGTGCCGCCGTCTTCCTCGTCATATCCAAGAACACCAACTTCGCACATCCCGACGACTTGCGACTTTTGCTACTGCGATACGGGACTCGAAATGGCAGACGCCAATTCACACATTGCGCAGACGCTGCTGCATCGCGCATTTTCTCCCTCAACTGCAGAATCACACTACCACGAGCGCGTCATAAAGCGCCCCCTCCACGTTCGCGCAACCTCGCCTACGCCGTCTGCACGCGCAGTCCGCCGCCGCGCTCTCAACGAGCGCAACCAAGCCGCCAGGAAGCGCAGGAAGAACCAGCCTCGCCCGCTGTCCGCTGCGAAGAAGCGTGCACTGTGCCTGAACGAGATACCCAAGGAGCAACAGAAGTATGCCATCTACGACGGATTACACAATTTGTGGGTGGGTTACATGCGGGAGGTGCTAGGCCTGAACGACGCTGCGAGGAATGTGCTTGTCACGCCAAACGCAAGTGGGCAACTGCTTGCGACCGCCGACATGCACGGTGCACTCGTGAGTGTGGTAAGAAGTCGGTGCGTGAGCCGCGTAGGCTTGGAGGGCATCATCGTCCGTGATACAAGGTTCACATTCGAGATCATCACGAAGAACAACGCTGTGAAATGTAAGTCCTGTAGGCTAGACCCAGGTAAGTGGTAAGTATCTGACATTCTCAGCTATACCCAAGGAGCACACCGTCATCCGCTTTGAGTTGCCGCTTCCTGTTGAAGAAGGAAAGGAGCCCATGAAGCCACTGGTCTTTGAGCTCAACGCCGAACAATTTCAGACAAGAGCGGCTGATCGCGCGAACAAGAAGTTCAGAATGCACTACCAGCCTGACATATGAAGAGAGCACACAGCCATCTGCTGAACATTCCGATACCAACCCAGAGACGAGCTCGAGAACTCCTTGGAGTTCATGAGTCGACCAACAGCATTACCAGACATGCAGCCACCCCAGTATGAGGCTCAGAGAATAGTCATCAAGCGGCCTGCACCAGCAACGCATATCGTTATGCGACATGTGCTTGGAATCAAAGGAGACGCTGGGTGGCAAGAACCGATAAGGAAGTACACGTCTATCAACACAGACATGGCGAAGAGCAACAAGTTGAAAGACACAGTCAAAGTGGGCATGCAATTATGTCATTGAGTATGGTATCATCCCGATGGCGCTTCAAAGCGCCTCCCGCTAAATGCAATGGTATCATGAACAAACAACCTCTTCATCCGCGTTTCAAAATCTTACACGTTCGTCGCGACCCTTCCAGACTGGAAGTCCTCGGGCTTGAAATCTCTCAGCTCGGTCTCCCGTCCACTACTACCACCGTTCATCGAACTGATCTCATCCTTCTCTTTAACAGCCCTGCCCTTGTCCAGTCTACACCCTGTATAGCTCCTCGGCAGATAACGACCAGGATGCCACACAGCGAACACGACTAGTACAGCAAGTATGGGCGCGGCATCGAAGACCCAGAAGCACCATTCGTGACTCTGGAGATATGCTAGCCCGTAGTTGCGATCGTGTGGTATCTCGATGGTTCGGTAGAATGCCCGGCAGGCGATAAGGACGGAGGAGAGATTAATGGTGTACCCCAGTTTCCGCCAAAGGTGCAAATCTCCAAGGTCGTGTGCAGCCCAATGCCGGCTAATGTAGAAGTACCGCATGCTGATGATGGAAAAACTGAGGAAGCAGAGCAGTTGCATCACCAGACCCATGATGAGGATGATCCGCCCAGGCAGCGCTTTCCGTTCAGAAGCAGCAATGGTCCGGTTTCCTTGCGTGTCTTCATCATACTGCCGACTAATTTGACTCGCACCGACGAGTTGGACGAGGAAACTGAGGAGGTCGAAACACACAAAGTTGGCGGTAATCCACCTAGGGAAGCACCACAGCGTTTTGAAGTTGAGCGCATGGGTTGGGCAGGAAAACCATACTACGCGACTGAATGCCGTGTAGCATGCTGCAGCCAGGAAGCTGGGAGCGAGCAAGATCATGAGCCATGAGGCGAGGAAGGGTGACTCTCTGTGCTCGTCGTAGGCCGATACTAGGCGGCATATGAAGCCCAGATCGAGCATGATAATGGCGATGATGGCCGCCCAGAAGAAGTACGCCTTGTGGCGGACATATTGGTAAATCGAGTATGTGGAAAGTAACAGGACGACAATTGCGCCTGTTATGGCCAGGGGGTAAGAAGGGTCGTAGATGTAAGGGTTCAGGAAATTTTGGCCTGCGATGTGGTCAGCGACGATGTTGCGTTGCTGAGTAGTAGCAGACGGGGACGAACATACCAACTTGAGCCCGATTTGGCAACCCCATACTCGATCGCGCGTCTAAGACTGCGCTCACGACGTGCATTTTAGCAGACATATCCCGCTCCGCACAGGTCCACCTGTTTAAATCTCCGAGCGTAGTCGTTCGTCGATCACGGCAGCCCCAGTAGTCGTAATGGTCGCTCTTTCGCAAATGCCGATAGCGCGTCGCTCATGTCCCAGTCGCGGTCGCAGTGATGGTAACGCCACAACGTCGTGGTACAGCAACCTCGTCGCAAAAGGGCATGCTCGAACACCAGGGAAAAGAGCCAGCGGAGAAGCGACCCAGATAACAAAAGGCGGCGGTAACGCACGTTTTACCCAAGCCACGCCCGCCTGCGTTCTCCGCTTGCTAAGAGCACTCAAGGCCTTGGCAGTCCCTGGCCCTTTCCACTCCGCACGCACTGCGCGTCTCCTTTCCTCCATCTCCCACGTCCCCAGTCCGTCTCACATGTGCTGGCTAGGTAGGGCCGGGTAACCCGCGACACTTACGTCTTTAATGCGAGACGGGAGACGGATAAGGCGGGTATACACACCATGCAACGCAGTGCCGCGCGCACTACTGCTACCGACCCAGGCATCTCTCCCTTTGATATTAATTCGGTACACACACGTAGTCGTACCTCGCTCTTTCACGGTTGCACCCTCGAACGAAAGGCCCGGGAGCAAGCACACGCGTCAGGAATTACCACATGATCCGCCGGCGTGGCCTTGGCAAACCAACGAAAGCCATGGCGTGTGTCGCTGCCAAGGTGTTGGCAATGAGGCCGCTCGCCGAAGTAGCCGCACGCCGGGACTTCGCGTCTTACCAGACCCCACGGCGTGGTGTTGAGGCGTCGTCCAAGTATCTTTGTGGCGTATAGTCGTCGCGGCCAAGTAATATCCCGATGCAAACGTGAGCCGTGGCATTTCCTCGCTGCGCGATATTATCGGCGGATCGTTTGACCTTGGGCTACGTGCCTGGTTTCTGTGTGGTGGTGTTATCCTGGCTAAAGGCCAGCGAGTACGTTCTTGTGAAACTGAGGCGTCCAGGTGTGGCGCAGGCACGCCAAACATGGGCACAGGCGCGTCCTTGTGGCCTGCGCAAGCGCAGAATGCACTACCTTTCGCGATGAACGCCACTTGTTTAGGATCGAGAAAGTTCTAGGTGTGTAGCCTAAGTTTATTGAGATACACTGTATCTTGTCACCGCCTTCACGATAAATTACGTATTATGAGGGAACCTTGGCAAAACTGGAGAAACATCGTGGATTTCCCCCTTGAGATCTTAGTTTTCGAGCCAAACCTTGAATCACCCTAAGCAGCTGGGTACAAGACCCGACCAAAGTATCTCGAACTACCGTTTCATCACATCATCTCCACGAGAATTTATCGGCTTGCCTTCGCCTACCCGTCTACTCATCGTCAAACTCGTCGCCGGAAGCGATCTTATCCGCACTCTCCTTGTTCGAGCCATCAATCTCAGCCTCATCCTCGTCATCATCGAGACCCATGCCCTTCTTCAACCAGCGCACTTCCTTGGGCTTCCGCTCCATCCAGAGCTCGTTCGGGATCCAGGTATAGAAGCTGCACATGGTCTCCTTGATGTCGTCGAGAATGGTCATGCCGCCGGTGAGGTGCATGATGTTGGCGTCCATCTTCAGACCCACGAAACAGTCCTTGATGATGTCTTCCTCGATCCAGAATTCGTACTCTCTGCCGTCGCCAGCTTTGCGCGGCTTGCCGTTGGGATACTTGTTGTTGTCCTTGGGTAGGTCCCACTCATCACAGTCATCCGTGTACCAGGTCTTGCACAGGAGCTTGCCGAGAGGTTCAAGCTGGCCGAGCTTATGTTTGAAGAGCTTGCTCTGCTCTGCATATGCGGACTTCGTGTCGTCGTCAGGGAGTTGAACGGCGGTGACCTCAAGATAGGCAGTCTCTCTGCTGAGAACCTGCAGATCTCCAGACTCGAACATATCGTACTGCGCATCCGAGCCCAGAACCGCGATGCCAGTACCGAACTTGACCCTGGCCTCTTCCTTCCGGATACCGATCTCGGAAACAGTCAGGCCTTCCTTCTTGAGGTCCTCAGCCCACGACTTGTCGCCAGTATATATGTCGGCCTGAGCGCCACCGAAGACAACGCTAGCGGACTTGTTGAAGTCTCCGGGTAGGGCAAGACCTACGGAGTTGACCTTGGGAAGCTCCCGGTCGGCCTGGTCACAGATTTGGAGCGCAGTGGCAAGCTGATCGTCAAATTCGGGGCAGACACGGTGAAAGCGAAGATATCTGAAGAAAGAGCGGGGCACTTGACAAGCATTCTTGATGGCGTGCGAAGCATAGCCGTAGTGGGCAGGGTACCAAGATGATCTGTCATAGTCAACATCGCGTCAGGCAAGGTTGGGGTGGTAGGCTTACAGGAAAGCTTTGCAGACAGCTACAAAGTCAACAGCCCACCGCTTCTCATCGGACCGGTCCCAGGGTACGTTGTGGATGGCGAGGGCCCTCGCAATCTCCTCAGCACCCATCTCCTTCATGTCGTGCTTAGAGATTCCTTGGTACTGGCGAGGACCGGACTCTACTCCACCAAAGCGCATGAGCTTGTTAAAGACATGTGCGTACATCTCATGCATGCGACGCTTTTGCTTAAAGCGCTGGATGGCAATCTCAATGCGCTCAACGAACGACTTGTCTAGAGCGTACATTTCCTCTTCCTCGGCGGCTTCGTCAGGAGTGAGAGTAGGCTCCATGTACGCCTTTTCAAATCCGGTAGCCTTCAGCATGTTCTTGGACACTCCTTCAGGGTGCTTGATCTTGGCCTGAGGGAGTAGTGGTACTGGGTACTGGGCGGGCTGCTGAGCCTTGGCCTTCCGTGATCCTGGGGCATAGGCGATGTCGTTATCGTCGTCGGCATCGAAGTAATCTGGATCCAGGATGCACTTCCCGGTTAGAGGAACCTTGCGCTTGATGGTCTTTCCGTCAGCAGAGACTTCCAAGAAGGCGCTCAGTCGAAGAGCCGCAGAAACTAGGGACTTGGGCTTGTATTTTCGCATCTTTTGAAAACCACAGATCCGACTGACGGAGACGGGGATGTTCTCACGCCCGCCACAGCACTGTAACATGTGCTTGTCGGTAGGGAGATTCTCATCGGAAAAGTAGAACTCCACCTTGAAGAACGATTAGTTGATCTGAAAAACTTACCGCGAGACTGGGGACTGGGAAACGTACTTGACGACGGATCTCTGCCCCATCTGGGTGGTCCAGCACAGTGCTGGTGACTTGAGAAGTGGCAGTGATGTTGGTGGAGGCTCCATTGGGAGGTCCTGCGTCCACAGAAGGTGCTGCAATTGCGGTTGCCATGGTTGCTACTCTCTGTATTGAGGTTCGGGGATATCAAGAGCTGACTGAAAGAGACTTGAGGTTATAGAGGGTGATATAGAGAGGATTGGGCATGGGATGTCGGCGCGCTAGTGAGGCAGCTGCAAACCATGCCTCGTGGGTGACTGCGCTGGACCTGGCCCCGGGGGGGGGTGAGAGAGCGCGACTAGCCCATACTGACGGTCGTAGCTTCCTATTACGGACTTTTCGTTCATACAAACGCCTCATACGGTGAATGCATCGCCAAAGATTTGACGGATGCGGGCAGCACCACGGTGAGATGTCGACTTGGTTAATTGCGACGCATGCGACATCTCCTCGGGCGTGCTGCCACGAGAGTTGAGCGAGATCATATCTGCAATAGAATTTCACATTGTGCCCGGCAATAGAGTCGTGTAGAAGACGTACTCATGCTACTGGATGATATCAAGCACACGAATAATGAATTTCATGATGACAGCATTGTCTGACTCGTGACGGAGGACCCTGAAACACCCGTGGGGCCAGCCCACCATGTATCTTCCACCTAAACAACAGCCACGAGTATAACAGCTCTGGTACCCGACCAAACGCTCCGTACAGACCAAGAAACATGGCCTCCAAACAATATGACGCGTCGAAACTCGTAGCATATGGCAGTGCTGCTGCTGGCCAGTAAGTCACTGCCGGTTGCCTGTCAGCCTCGTGTACCAGACTAACACAACACCAGCGACGGCGTGCTCAGCGACCCATCCGGCGGCGTAGTAGTAAAACCATGCACCCTCGCTGAAATTGACTTCTACGAATCCCTCGCCGACCACCCAGACCTCGCGCGCCATCTCCCCACCTTCATGGGCCAGCTCTCCCTCTCAGCCGACCAGACCGCCGCTACCGAGTCCGTCGAAAGCGGCACCATACAAACGGCCGATGGTACAATCGAGCGCCTGCATGGCAAGAAGCTCGCGACCGATCTTCACATAGTACTAGAGAACATTACACACGGCTTCAAGAAGCCGAATGTTCTGGATCTGAAGCTTGGCGCGCAGTTGTGGGACGAGGCTGCGAAGCCGGAAAAGAGAGCGCGGCTAGATGCTGTGAGCAAAGAGACTACAAGCGGCAGCCTGGGTTTCCGGATAGCAGGCATGCGCACATACAAGGGAGCTGAGGTACCTGAGGTTCCGGAAGATCTCAAGGAGTATGTTGAGACGGATAACGAGGGCGGCTATTGGGTGTACAACAAGATGTATGGACGCAAGTTTAGCGCCGAAGGTGTTAGTGAGGGCTTCACAGACTACATCTTTCCCGGCGCCAAGTCAGAAGCGGAGCTTGACCGGGCGAGGGAGGTGCTCGCTTACTTTTTGGGTGAGGTCAAGGACATTCAAGAGGTCTTCGAAAGCAAAGAGAGCAGGATGTACAGCGCAAGCATACTATTGGTTTATGAGGGTGATGTAGAAGAGTATGCGAACACCAAGCAGAAGCTACGTTCCGCGCATCCCGAAGACGAGGATGAGGATGACGAGGAGACTGTGCCTAAGCTAGCCGAAGTCAAGATGATTGACTTTGCACATGCGACGTGGACACCAGGGCAAGGGCCGGACGAGAACGCGCTGCAGGGTATGAGGAGCACGGCAAAGATATTGAAGGAGTTGTTAGACAAGGCGCAACACGACTAGTTCATCTGTTGGGAGCCCAGAACATAGACAATGTATACCCAGAAGCACAGCTTAATACTATTACCGAGTCTAACTATTCCCTAGTAGTGTATCATCCCAGTTTCCGACTCCCCCCATCAGTGACTCAAAAAAAGCTGCGTCTACACCTTGAAGCGCCCAATCATCCGTTCCGGCGGCCCACCCTGGATAATATTGCGACGTGTCGAAGATATCATCAGAAAGTGCTAGTGGTGGCTGTATCGACTGAGGGTGCTGCGTGCCAGAGTCCGGTACCAGCAGAGTGGATGACGGATTGCCGTTAATATCCTGACCGAAGACAGAAATGTTGTCATCGACACCTACCGGGTTCGAAGAAGAGGGTACATCAAGCATTGCCGCAGTAGAAGTCTGGGACCCTGGCCATTGCTTGGTGATGCCGTTCGCACCAATCTTGATGATCCCAAAATATGGAATCGAGAGCTGAAATTGTTCGCCGCAGCCCTCTTCAAGCCGATTAACCGTGCTCTCGCTGCTGTGACTGAATCCACGCGCGGCGTCGCTTTCAATCAGCAGCAAGTTACGAAGTTGCTCAGCGCTCTTGCCCGTGAGAGGATCGTTCGTTTGTGTCTCGACAAGTTCCAGCTTTTCTACGAGTTGCTCCACCATTGCGCGATCACCGGGTCGCTGGTGAACTAGAAAACTTTGGTCCTTCCAGCGCCTGCTGTCTATGTGCGCGATCAGTATTGTCATACCCGCCATTAGCGCGAAGAAGTCGGCTGTATGACACGATTGGGTGGAGATTGGCCGGAAGTTGTGGAATGCGACGAATCTTGTGAGAATCTCTCTGGCCGCGTTGATGCAGGTGATCTTGGCGTACATGTGGAAGTCAGATCCTGTAGCGCAGCGTATGAGGAAAGGCAGATGGAGAAGATGAAGCAGGTTGTACTGGTAGATCTGACTTCGAAGCCGCATTAGTTCCTCAAAAGTTTCTTTCGCATTCGGCTGGAGACCAGTGAAACTGGGCGCGAGCCAGTATTTGTCTGGAACTAATGCCGCGACGTTCTGGAGGTCGCGGTCTATTTTACGGGTAGCCTCGATATTCTGGTGTGGATCTCCTCGGTTGCGGTCAACGATACCAGCCGCAATGAGCGTATGTGCTCGATCGATCTGGCAGCTTACACTGGTCCCAGGACTGGAGTTCTCCACGCTCATCTTTTGGCCCCCATGAGGTAGGCCAAGCATCAGGCTAAGATAGCTGTCCATATGAACAATCCGAAACCAAAGGAACTTAGCATCCACCCTGTGCTTGCTCTCGAGATACTTGACTGGCGGAGGGCTAGACGTATCCAGTCTCATCAGCTGCGCAAACACCATGGCTCTTCTGAAAGCGATCCAAGCTCGTCGAAGGTTGCCGGCGTTAGATTGGAAGGTGGCTTCGTAAACGATACATTCTAGTCCTTCGATGCAGCCTATTAGATGGTCTTTGGTGACGACCATACGAACAACTGTTTCCACCAAGCGAGTGGCAAGGACGCCTGGATCCCCCGAGATGCAGTCGCCCTTGTTGCACCGAAAGTACTGTAGCATGAGGGCGAGGATGAGCATATGCCTCGCGATCAGAACCGGAGGTGTACGCGAACTGTCAGGAATTGTAGCCAGATCGTCGGCAATGTCCAATGATTCGTTTTGTGAGGGGTCGATGGATGTCGTGAGACATTGGTAGCTGTACAAGGTTGCGTTGCGATCGGTCTTGCACAAGAGCTCCAGATCTTGTTGCGGTGGATACGCTCGACGTAGGGCGGACGATATACTCTCGCCGTCTTCCGTTTGTAGAAGAGGTTGTTCCGGTGTCAGTGCGGCTGAGCTAGGGGTTGGAAGTTGCACATGGCTGATTGTGGCGTCGTCTCCTGGATGTTCCGATCGCGCAAGCAATGCTTCTGCCCTTTGCAAGCGTTGGAGAAGCTGCTCATATGGAATATCAGGAGGATTGGCGATATTGTTTGAGCCTCTACTAGGACGCAGCATTGATGCTTTTAGACTGCTGTCGTTGCGTCCCAGGAATTCCTCTTCCGGCTCATTTTGGAGAACGCATGGCACCTTCCGACGGCGACATGCTACACATATGGTGTCAGATGTCGCATCGAATGTGCATCTGACCTTTCGCTTCTTGCAATGCCAGCAGCTTGTTGTTCCTTTCCGAAGTTTGCGCCGCTTGCTGTGAGGCTCGAAGTTGGTGGTGTCGGCGTCATTGACGGATGATCCCGGTGAGCCTTCCATGGCTGGCAACAGTAGCCTGAGCTGAGGGCGCGGTACCTCTCGAGCAAAGCGACCCAACGTATGGCACGCTGGGTTCTAGTGAATCTGTTGCTGGCATCGTATCACAAACAGATGCGATGTTGGTGACATGGGCAGCAGTTAGTAAGTTAGGGGCGAAAGGGGAAGAGTGAGGGCGATCACCGAGACCTCGGCGGAAGGTTCTCCGCCGAACACATCCTTCAGGCATCAGCAAGGCCACCACCCAGCCACCACATCATTGAGTCGATGCGCAACGGACTTTCGTTGGCCTGGCTAGAAAGCGGTCGCGTTTTGATTACAATTCTTTGAATATCTCTACTATTACAAGATCAGACAACACACATGCCTCAAACGTGTCAAGGCGATGCATGTCCAAGTATCGCCAAAAGTACAATCTAGGTATCTCAAGCACAACCTTAGCGATAGCGTCGCATTAGTAGCAAGGGCGGGGAATTCATTGTACGTCCTACCAAGACGTAGCGCATGTAATTTACGCAGCTCCGGCCTGCACCTTCTCCATGTTCAGCTTCTTGAAGGGTACCAACATGGCAGCCACGGCAGCTGCACCAGCCAAAGCTGTCGCAATAGCGAGCGCGACCTTGATGCCCGCCATGTATGCGACCACTATGCCTGCTATGTCTTCTGCAGCAAAATTGTTTCGAAGCTGCGTCGCTCCGGATCCGACCACCGCCAGCGGATTCACGTTCGGTGCTGTGCTCGCAAGCGTGTTGATCATGCGATTGACAAATCCAGACTGAGCCGCAGTCAACGAGAATGCACCGCCGATGGTTTGGAAAACTGCGATGTGTTAGATAATTCCATATGAAAAGAGCTGATTTGCATACAAAAGATCGTTGCCGTCGCTGAAGACATGTCCTCTGCTCTTGCATTGGCCTGACTAGTGTTGATAGCCATTTGAAAGCCCAGACCGACTGCGATGCCGTAAAAGGCCTGATAGCCAATCCATTTACCCAGCCCAGTACCAATGTCGAACGTATACATTAGACCGGTAGCGATAGTCGCTAGAAAGGCACCGCCAACCATGAAAGGTGCAGCATAACCTGTCTTTGAGACAACGCCGCCACTGACGATGCTACCCAACACCATGGCGAGGACCAGTGGAAGGTTCAGCACACCCGAATTGATTGCGCTACGGTTGTCGACGCTCTGAAAATAGAGAGGTAGGTAGTACAGCAAGACGATATATGATGATGAGAAGAAGAAGATGAAGGCAGATGGCTGCCATAGTGTTCGCTCGCGGAGAAGTCGGGGTGGAAGCATCGAACGCTCGCCGTTGAAGATCTCCCATGTAATGAAGGTAATTGCGATAACGATGAAGCCTACTAATAGACCGATGACGTAGCTGCTGTTCCAAGGTCGCTTCTGGCCGCCATTTTCGAATGCTAAGATGTATGCAACGATGCCACCCATGACGAGCGCAATGCCGAGAGGATCCATTTGCAAGAGCTTTTCCTTCCAAGTCGCTTGGGTAATGACAGCTTGTGGTGGAGTCTTGTAAGTGAATAGGATCAGTGCTGCAGAGGCGCCGCCGATAGGAAGGTTGATGTAGAAGCTGTGCCATAATTAGCATGTGAGCGGAACAGTCATGAGAAAACATGAACCTACCACCATCGCCAGCTCACTGTGTCTGCGAAGACTCCTCCCAAAAGCGGACCGACGACGCTAGAAAGGCCATATACAGCACCAACAATCCCCATTAGAGCTGGTCGCCGTTTAGGCTCTGCCGCGAACGCCGCCATAGTGAACGCCCCAGTTACTACGCCGGCGGAGCCGACACCAGCGATTGCGCGGCCAACGACGAAAGTTATAGAATTTGGAGCGATGGCGCAGATCAAGCTTCCCATTTCAAAGACGAAGATGGCACCTAGGAAGGACCACTTGAGTGGGAAGTAGCGGTAGAACTTGCCAGACATGGACTGGAAACCGCCGAACGTCATGAAATACGCGGAACCATACTAAGACATGTTAGTATTCAAGCACTCGCGTAGCCAGAGCGAGAGTGTAAAAGCTCACCCATGAAACCATGTTAAGGCCTCCAAATTCGTCTGTGATCTTAGGAATGGCTGTTCCAATAATTGTCATGTCCAGGGCTGTAAGAAAGACTGCGCAGAGTATGGCAATCAATATGGGCACCAGCAGTATGCCACTCGGATATTCTTCTTTGATATCATCGGGCTTCTCGTCTTGTTCAGATTTGACATCTTCCTCGATGCCTTGGTTGTTCTGCTGCTGCGTCTTCTCCTCAGCGATGTTTTCTGGTTTCACGACGCCACCAGCCGATTGCGCTGTTGCATCGAATGCGATCGAGGTGTGGAAGTTGTGTTTGTTCATCGTGTGCATCTGGAGTCGAAACTAAGGACGATGTTGGCGGGAGTGTTAAGGGGACAATCTGCAGCGGTAAAGGAGAGTGGAAGAAGTGCCACACATATACTGATGTACGGACGAATACATGATTCGGTTCTTCGAGCAAAGCTCCGATTCCTTTGGCTGAGTAAATGTTCGTCGGAGGGCGAATGGAGGGCGAACGCTTGGCACATGCTTCCGCCGAAGGTTTCGGCGGAAGCGATCTGCAGCCTACATTAATATAGAAACATACGAAATAAGTAAGCTAACGTTAACATAGGCCCTAGACCTATTTAGTTTTTCTTTTCTTGTATGGTGCTTGTGAAGACGGCCCTGTTAGTCGGATGCCGACGTCGGGAGCT